GGCGCCACGGCTGCGCTGGCCGCCGTTGCCGGTCGGCCTCCGCCGCCCGGTGGACGGCTCCCTAGCTGCCTGTCCCCCCACCGGGTAACCTGCTTCAGCCTGCTTGCCAGCAGCCTGCAGCCGCTGGGCGCGCAGTGCCCACACCGGCCGGGGTCCGAGGCGTCGGACGCCGCCGCGTCTCCGTGCGGCCGGTGCGTGTCACCGCCGGCCGGGGATCGGCCCTCGGCGCGCGACCTGGCCCTCGAGGTCCGCACCCGGCGCCTGCTGTTCATCCTCTCGGAGTTGACCCTGCACGAGGTTCGTGGCCCTGTTTCTTGATTGCACCACCGGTTGCGCTCCTGCCCCGGCCCCCTCGCCGGAGGGCGCATGTCACGCATTTCCCCGTCGCAGGCTGACTAATGCACGCGCCCGGGCCTCGCCCGGTCCCAGGGCAATGCCACCGATGCGGAGCTGCTCTCATGCCGGGAGTTTCGCCGGCGCCTGGCGGCGGCGGCCGGCGTCGACGCGACCACCGGCCTGCGCGCGGCCGCCCTCCCGCCCAGCCGCCCGGCGGACCACCTGTTCTTCATGCAGCTAGGCCATGCCGTGCGTTCTGCTGGGCCTCGGGCCTTCCTTCTTTTTTCTTTTTTTTTTTGCCCCCTTCACCCGTGCGCTGTCCTGACCCGCGGGACCGGTCCCCTCCCCCCCCCCCCCGCACCCCGAGGGTATGCCCGCAGCCAAGGACTCCATCATCCAGCTGGCCAACTGTACGCCCCCCCTTCGATGTGCCTTCTGTCCGCCTCCGCCTCCGCCTCCCCCCTCCTACTCGCGTGTGCTCGCCCAGCCGGTGGGGCTCCGGCCCGGATGTGGCATTTGTGATTGCTCACGCTGGCGCTCACCGACCGGTCGCACAGACCTCCGCGGGCTCCTGGTCCTGGGCCTGCCTCTGGACCCCGAGGGCCCGCCGGCGCAGGACGCCGACGGGGTGGAGCTCCTCCTCCGGAACCCCTCCAGCCCGCTCGCGGTGCACACCCGGCGCTGGACCGTCGATGTGGTCCAGCTCCTGACGCGCACCGCCTCGGAGCAGCTCTTCTTCGTGGCCCGGCGCTCGCTGGCCGAGTGGGGGGCTCGTGGGCCCCTGGCCGCCGGCGCCGCCGGCCGGGCCTCGCTCGCTCCGCCCGCCGGCATCGACCCGTCGCCCCCCTGCGGCCGGTATCCCCGGTGCGTTTGCCGCCGGGCTGTTCCCTCCCCCCTTCCCGGACTCGCCCGGCGTCCCGATGCGCAGGCTGACCCTCTCCCTCCCCCCCCGCCCCCCGCCCCCCGCCCCCCGCCCCCCTCGCGAGGACAGCCTTGACCCGGATGCCGAGCGTGCGCGCGTCCACGCCATCGTCGACCAGGGCCTTCGCTTTGGGCACCTGAATTCGGTGAGCCTCGGGCCGCAGCTGGTCACCGAGCACCGGGCCGCCCTGTCGCAGAGCCCGGGCCCGGTATGCTCCGGGGCGGTGTGGCAATTGGCCGCGGGCCGGCCGGTGGCCCCCCCGGGCTCCCCCTCGCCCGGGCACTTTCCCCTGTGCGTGGGATGGCTGCGCGCCTGGGCGGCGCTGGGGGCCAGATTGGCCGGGCTGGCGCGCGGGGCCCCCTCCCCCGGGGGGCTGGTGACCGAGGCCCGGCGCCTGGCCCAGGACCAGGGCGACCTGGCATCCGTGGCCCGGCAGGACATCTGGCGCTCGCTGCAGCCCGGGGCCTTCGGCGTGCGGGCCGGCTCCCAGGCGGCCATTTTGGCCCGGCTGGCGGCCCTCCTGCAGGTGGCGCAGCAGGTGGAGTGCCTGCTGCTGCCGGACTCGGTCCTTCGGCAGGGGTTCTCCCTGGCTGGGAGTGGCTCCGGAGCCGGGGCCACCGGGGCCGGTGGCAGTGCCGGCGCCGGCGGTGGCACCGGGGCCGGCCTTGTGTCTCTGGTCCTCGGCGGCGGGCGGCTCTTTGGCCAGCGGGCCGGGCACCCTCCCCCCGGGGCCGGGTCGGCTCCCGGAGCCCCGGTGCCCCCGCTGAGTCCCATGCTGGTGGGAGCCATCCAGGCGGCGGCCAGTGCCGCGTACGATGCGGCCCCGTCAACTGGGCGCCGGCTGGCCGATGCATCGGTCGACGCGGCCCTTCGTGGCCTGTCGCTGGGCCTGGCGCGCTGGTTGCTCCTCGGTGGGGCTGGCCCCGGACCGGGCGCGCCCCAGGCCGGCATGGCCGGGCCCTGGGCCCGGGACACCGATGCCCCGGGCGATGAGGGCCCCCGGTCGCCGGCGGCCGAAGGCGCCCCGGCGGCCACCGGCGGCCCGGCCCTCAGCCAAGTCCTGGCGGCGCTGGCGACCACCGGCATGCCGCTGCCGCCCTGGGTGTCGGCCGCCCTGGCCAAGACCCTGACCAACCCGGAGGAGACCTACTCGCCGATGGTGGCGGTGCCAAGCGGCCAGGCGGGCATCCCGGACGTGGCGTCCGGCGTGCTTGCGGCGCTGGACTTCGCCCGGCGGCCCACCCTCTCCAGCAGCCGCGAGGTGGAGCAGTGGCGCTTTGAGGCGCGGCTGACGGCCGCCCACTGCTGGACGCTCTTTGGTGCGTTTCCCCCCCCCCCCCGCCCGGCGTGGTCGCCTCCGCCGAAGAGGGCCTCGGCCCGCGGCTCGGGCCCGCTCTAGGGCACTAACCCATGCGGCATGTCTCCCCGTCCGTCCTCCGGCCGGCCGGGCCCCTCTTGTTCGTCGCCTTTCCCCCTTGACCAGGCTTCACAACCATTGCCCAGCACTACCTGGGCGCCAAGCAACGTGGGCCGACCGGCGTCGCCCCGGCTGAGGTGCCGGACTCGGACATCCGCCTGCGTGTGTCCCGGTGGCAGGAGGTGCGCCCGTGCGCCGGCTTTTTCGACGGCAAAACCCCTTTTTGCTTCTGTCCTCCCATCGCCGGCTCCTTTTCTTGCTCCTCCTTCCTCTTCCTCCTTTCCTTTTTTCTTCTCTCCTCGCCCTTCTTCTCCTCGCCCTTCTTCTCCTTGCCCTTCTTCTCCTTGCCCTTCTTCTCTTCGCCCTTCTTCTCCTCCGCACCACACTCACATCCAACGCCCAGCTGCTGACCGAGAGCCAGCTCGAGCGTCTGGCGGCCGAGCTGGCAGCCGACCGGCCGACGGCCGGCCCGGATGCCCAGCATGTCGATGCCTTCCAGCTGCAAGTACATGCACGCGGCCTGCTCAGCCGCTTCCCCCTGAGGCATTGGCCGGTGGCCCCGGCTGGCATGCCGCAGGGTGCCATTGCCCCGCCCCCCCGGGCCGGGGTCTTCCCCGCGCCCGTGGATGATCGGCCCTTGGCGGTCATTTTGCAAACGGCCGCCGGACCCCTGGACCCGGTGGTCCGGGCACAGCTCCTGGCCCGGGTGGAGAACAACCCCGCACGGCATGCGGGCCTGCTACGCCGGTGGGCGGCCCTATGGCTGGCCCCCGGGGGCGGCCAGTGTGCCGGGTCGCTGGAGCTCCTGTCGATGCTGCTATTGACCGAGGCCAGCCCGGGGGCCGGGGCCGGGGCCACCAACCCGCTGCAGGCGGGCATCCCGCCGGGCGGGACGCGCGTCGGCCCGGTGGCGGCGCCGGACCAGTCGGACGCCCTGCAGGCGGCCATGTGCCAGCTGGCCAGCGTGGCCCTGCAGCTGGACTACCTGGAGGAGGTGTCCACGGCCGGGGACTGTGGCGGCGCGGCGGCCGCCGGGACCGGGGTGTGTGGCGACTGTGCCGGGCCGGCGGGCACCCGGTCGGGGCTCCTTCCCCCGACTCCGGCCAGCTGGCTGCCAACAACTGGCCGCGCGGTTGCCGAGCACCTGGCCGCGCGGAGGCCGGACCCCTCGCCGGCTGGGGCCTTCCTGGCGCGGACCTTCGCCCAGTCGGCCCTCTTTGATGAGGAGGACGACCTGTCGGAGGAGGACGCATGGCCCGGCCCGCCGGCGGTGGCCGCCACCGCCACCGCCACCGCCGCCGACACGCCGGCCGCCCAGGAGGTCCTCTTTCAAATGCACCGGCGCGTGGGCGAGGACCTGGCCGCCGGCTCGGCCCCGGTGGGCACGCTCTTTGTGGACCAGGCGCGTAGTGCGCGCGCCTGCCGGCGCTCCGGCTCGGCCAGCCTATTCCAGCAGTCGCAGCTGGACCAGGTGCGCATCTGGCTGCGCCACGCCCTGGCGCTGGTCGGCCTGGCCGAGGCGTGCATCGGCCGGGCCGAGCACCGGCCCCAGGCCGGAGCCCCCCGCGGGCCGGCCCTCTGGCACACCCTCGCCGCGGCTCGGGCGGTGACCGACCGCCTGGCGGCCGCACTCGGGGCCATGGCCGCCCCTCGCCATGGGGCCACTCTGGGCTCTTCGGTGGCCGGCGGGGCCGGGCTGTCCCGCGTGCAGGAGGAATGCCGCGTGCAGCTGCTCCTTTGCCAGGTGCGCCTGGCCGCGGGGAATTTGGCCGGGCTTGCCACGCGCGCCGGGCAGCTGGCCCAGCCTGTGCCTTGCGCCCGGCGGCCGGCGGCTGGCCCGAGTGTGTCGCCCGGCGGCCGGCCGACCTGGATGCGGGGCATCCGCCCGGCCATGGCGGCCGGCCGGCGGCCTGGCCCCCCGACGGCCCCCCCATCAAATGCCCCGCCAACGCTGGGGGCTTCCTCGGCCGAGGCACTGCTCCAGGCAGCCGACAGCCTGCTGAAGTCCGCGGTCCAGGCCGAGGACAAGCGCCTGTTGGAAAGTGCGCTGGTGGTCCGGGCAGCTGTCCTGGACCTGGGGCAGAATTACACCGACGTGCCGTTGACACCGATTGCCAGCAGCAGTGGCCGCCAGTCTCAGTCCACCCGACAGTCGTTCCTCAGCCTGCAGGGGTAGGGGGCCGTCCGTCCGGTGCCTTCTTTCCCCCCCCCCCCCCCCCCCGGCACCCGGCTGGGCCCCCACCAATAGACATCTCGGCCTCGTCTGATGGGCCGGGGGAAAAAAAGCGAGAGAGAGAGAGAGAGAGAGAGAGAGAGAGAGAGAGGGAGAGAGAGATGCCAGGGGCCGCCAGGGCAAACCAAGAGCAGGCAGGCGCGCGATGGTGAATCAAAGGTGCTCATGTTTGGGTGACATTCTCAAGGACATGGGGAGGGGGGGGGAGGGGCGGAGGGGCGGGGCATGTGCGAATGCGCCCGAGGGGCGCCGCTACAGCGGGTCGACCCAGCCCTCGAGGCCAAAGGAGCTGGCCAGGAACTGCAGCAAGTCGCGTTCCCCGACGCGCGTGCTCCGGCCGTCGGGCAGCTGCGCGCGGATATACCCCCGCCGGGCGTTGAAGCTGATGGTGGAGCTAGATCGGCGGGCCAAGGGGGATCCCCGGGAGAACCAAGGACGGAGAGAGGGGGTGTGTGCGCGTGTGAGAGGGGGCATTCGATGACAGAGGCAGAGGGAAAAGGGCGGGGCGGTCGCCCCCCCCCCTTCTCCCCCTCCCACTGCCCAGAGCAGGTGGAGGGAGGCCACGCACTGGTTGAAGGTGGCCGTGCCGACGTAGACCGCCGACGAGAGTGGCTCCAGATTGGCCGAGAAGGTGTCCGGCATGGGAGGACGCTCGGCCACGAAGGCATCCAGCGCGGGGAGCTCCTCGCCAGGCGCGAGCTCGGCCCCGAGGCGAGCACTGGCCGCCAGGAGGGCAGCCTGGTAGGCGCGCATGCGGGCGCGGTTCCGATGGCGCACGGCCCGGGCGATGGCGTCCGTCGCCTCGGCAAAGGCCTTGTTCGTGATGTAGTGCCGCAGAAGCCCGTATGTCTCATCTAGGAGCTCCGGACTGCCAGGTACGTGGGAGGAGCAGCGTGAGGGGGAGGCAGGTGAGGTGAGTGGCATGTCGGTGGGGAGGGGGGAGAGGAGGGGGTAGGGAGGGGTAAGGGGGCAGAAACAAGGAAGAACAGGGAAGAGCACGGAGGACCAAGGAGGGGCAGGAAGGGACAGGCAGAAATAAGGAGCAACATGCAGAGACAGGAGGACAGAGAGAGAGAGAGAGAGAGAGAGAGACACGTGGCAAAGGGGTGCGCGTACCCGGAGGAGGCGCCGCCAGCGGCCGCCGCCGCCGTCGCCGCCGAGAGGGAAAGCTGTGCGAAGGCCGGCTGACTGGTTGCCAGACCGGGGATGCAGGTGGTGGCGGAGATGGTGTCCCGCCGGCGGGAGAGCAACCCCCGCAGGGCACACCGACGCAGGTGGTGCGCGGCCGAGGAGCAAATAAAGGCATCCGCGTCCGGGCCCGGGAGCGGAGCCTCATCGGCCTCGGCCTGTTGGGCATCCTCCAACGGGGTGGTATTCCGGCCATAGCGGATGCCAAACCGGTGGAAGGAGTCCAATTGCATGTCGACCGCCGACTGGGGACCACCGGGGGCATTAGGCCCACCGCCGGGGCTGCCGGGCCCGGGCAGGCCGCCCGGGGCATTGGGGCCGCCAGCCGACCCGCCAGGGCCGGTCCCGGCATCCGTGGCATCACCCGGCCCCGGGTCGGTCCGGTGCTGCACAACCCCGTACGCCCGGCTGCTGGTGGCCTCGCGCGAGATCGAGCGGAAGAGCTCGCTCTCGAAGAGCTCCCGCTGAGCCGCCAGCAGGAACAGATGCGCCGGGTGGGTGAGACCATCTGCAAGCCGGGGATGGTTCACCGTCAAAGGACACAGAGAGAGGAGCGGGGCAGGAGGGAGGAGGCCACCGAGCGTGCTAGGTAAGTAAGCAGGAGGAGGAGGCATGGGCAAGCATTCCCCGGCCGGAGGGACATATGATAGCAGGCGAGGCCGCGGATGGGGGATAGAGAGAGCGCGCGTGCGAGAACGAGAGAGAGAGAGAGAGAGAGAGAGGGAACGAGTGAGAGAGAGAGAAGGGGGGGAGGGAGGCGCGGGAGACCGGATGCAGGACGGGGAGGAAAGGGAAAAAGAACAACGCACCACTCAGCGAGAACAGATGCTTCCCCTGGCCGTAGCTGCTGCCATTGACGTCGAACAGCGGCGTCGGCGAGGTGTTGGCAATGTAGAGATCCAGCTGGAAGAGCGGGGCCGTGGTGACGATCGCCTGGAGAACCCAGTCCGGCAGGGCCGCGCATGCCGGATCGCTGACGATGAAGGCCGGCACGGTGGGCGAGAACCGGGGCTTCGGCGCGGCGAAGTACACCACCCCGGGGCCGTCATCGGCATCGTGCATGGGCACATCGGCCGGGCTGGCGGCATCGGCCCCGGCCGGCCCCGGCAGGCGGAGGGCCTTCGAGGGACGGAAGTACCGCGGGACATACTCGTCAGCCGGCGGGGCGGCCAGCGACCGGCGGAGCTCCCGCCGGCGCCGGCACAAGTAGCTGAACAGCTGCGGGGGCAGGGTGTCCAGCGGGAAGACCGCCCGCCGGGGCCCATATGCCAGGGACAGCCGGGGGACGCTGTTTTGTGCCAGCGGGGCCTCGGTCGGCTGGCCGGGGACCAGCTCCGCCAAGCCCGGCGACTGGAAGGCCGGCACGTCGCCCGGCGCATGGGGAGCCACCGACCGCGGCCGGTAGGAGAAGTCCACGGTCCAGGGCCGGAAGCCCGGAGCCCCGCCCCGGGGCTGGGGCTGGGTCTCAACCACCCACCGCCGGCGGAGGGACAGGACGTCGGCCTCGAAGCGCCGAGAGGCGTGGTGCTGCGCGCGCATTCGCGCCGCCTCCTCCTTCAGCCGGTCCGAGCACCGGGTGAAGGCCTCCCGCCGCTGGCCCAGTCCGCCCAGCAGGGAGCTCAGCTGCTGCGAGGGGCGCGGCCGCGAGGCCGCCGTGAAATCGATCGGCAGGAGGCTCAGCAGCGGGGCCGGCAGGACCGGGCCCGCCCCCGCCCCGGGAAGCCCGCCGGCAAAGTGGTGGCTCATGTCCTGCGCATGGTCCAGGATGTCGCGCACAATGGCCAGCTCATTGAAGGTGTGACTGGGAAGCCGCGTCAGCCGGTGGCGTGTGCCCGGGCTTCGGGGCGACAGGGCGAGGGGGATGCGCGGGCAGGCAGGCAAGTGACAGGGCTAGATCGCGACGGCGCACCTCAGGAGCTGGGACATCTCGGCCATCGGGGTGGTGTGCTGCTGAGCAGCTTGCTGTTGTTGTTGCTGCTGCTGCTGCTGCTGCTGCTGCTGCTGCTGGGTGGTTTGCTTCGGGGAAATGGCCCCGGAAGAGGGATCGGCCGGAGCGCTGCCATCCGCCGACTCGGCCGACTCGGCGCTGGCCGGCCGCATCCGCCCAGCACGAGCGACACCCGAGAGGATGAAAGACTCGTGGACAATGCGCCGGAGGCGCTCGTCCGAAGTGACGATCCTGCAGGCAGGATGGCCCGGGGGGGGGGGGGGGGGGGGGGGAATGGCAGCAAGAGGGACGGTCAGGGCGCGGGTGGAACGCCCAGAGAAGGAGCGAGGCAGGAGACGAAGGAATGGAGCCCGCCCAGCAGGACAGGCCGCCACCGGGGGCCCGCCACGTACGGCAGATAGTCCACCTTGCTGTCCGGGTGCACAAGGTACAGCTCTGGCGGAGCCAGACGCGGCTCGAGCGGGAGGAACCCCACGTCCGAGGGGGCAGACGGCGGGCCGGCCGGCAGGTCGGCCCGTGGCAGCTCGACGAAGATGTCCGAAGTGCCATCCTCGGCATCGGGGTCATCGCGCCCGTTGCTGTGGCTTCCGCCGGGCGAGTCGCGCATCTCCACATCTGCGAGCACCCCCGGCCGGTGGGCAAAGAACGATCGAAGGCGGGTCAGAGGTGGGCACTGGCGCATAGGCGGGCGTGGGCCGGGCCGGGCCGGGCCGGGGCAATCCCCGCGGCGGGGAGGGCGGAGGGGGAGAGACACACACCTGTGCTATCTGAAGGGGAGCCCGGTGCCAGGGCGGGGCTGGGTGCGTCGGCCGGCCGGTCCGGCTGAAGATCCTCGCCACGGAGAGGGGAGGGGACGGCGGCACTAGGGGAGGACATGGCACACCATGGGAGAGGGAAGCAAGCGACGTGGGGGAGGGAGGGGGAGAGAGAGAGAGAGAGAGAGGGAAAGAGGAGGGGGAGGGGGAGGGGCAGATGTCGGGCGGGGAGAAATGGCTGGCTGGGTGGTGGGGGGCGGGTGGTGGTGGCGGTCATCCGGGCGAGCCCGCGGTCCGGCAGCCTGGCGCGAGAAATAATCGACACTCGGCGGCCCCCCGCGCCCTGAGCATCTAACCAAGTCCAGGAGGGCAGACAGAGGGCGGGAAAACTGCCAGGCGGGATGCCAGGGCGGCACTTCGTTGGGGGTCCGTGCGCCGGCATTTAGGCATCTGAACATGTGACAGGGGCGATGTCCGGCTGATGCGCGCGGAGGGTCACGCCCGAGCGCGGGGCCTATTTCATTGCAAAGTCGGGTTCCGGGGGGACTAAATATGCCCGAGCATATATGCCTTCAGGTGCCATTCACGCCCGTGTTGGAAGAGGCAGCCCCCGGTACATCGCCGGCCGCTATCATGGCCCTTTGGCCGAAAAAAAGAAAAAAAGAAGCAAAAAGGCGGCAAGGAAGGAAGAAAAGAACAAGGTCTTTAACAGGAAGGGGTCTATATGTTCATGGGCGAACGGAGGGACAGCCGCCGGGCCAGCCAAGAAAAGAGAGAGGGAGAGATGGAAAGGGCAGGGGAGGGCGCGGCACACATGCCGCGGGCAAGACAGGCGAGAGGGAGAGGAGGGGGCATGTGGCTGCTTCGGTCGAGGCTGCCCGTGGGCATGGCCGTAAATCGGTTCCCGCCGAGCCCAAGGGTCAACGGCAAGGAAGGGAGGGGGGAGGAAGAGAGAGAGAGGGGGGGGGGAGGAATCACAAGGACGGGGGAGAAAAAGGCGGACGGGAGGGGCGTCAAGTCTGGGAGAGGGAGAGGCCGGAGGCCGACCGCTCGCACAGGGGCTCGAGATAGCCGCCGCTGGAGCCAGGCCGAGGGTGGTGGTCGGCCGTCTGCTGGCTGGAGTGGAGGTGTTGATGATAGGTGTGGACCGCCGGCGGAGAGGCCGGGGCCGGCCCGCTGCCGCCGGCCCCGGGGCCAAGCTGCTGATGGTGCTCCGGGTGCGTCGGAGTCTGCGGCGAGGCCACCGATGTCGAGCGCGTGGTCAGCGACGGGGAGGAGGGCGTCGAGGAGAGAGACCGGTTCCGGTAGAAGACCGGCGACGAGGGGTGCGACAGGGGAGCCCCGGCGACCGAGGAGCCGAGGCCCGGGGTCGGCCCGGCGGGGGCGCCGCCCCGCGACCCGGCATGCGTCGAGATCGACAGGGCCGGCCGGGCCGAGGCCGACCGCAGCCGCTGGTACGGCTCCGGCGAGACCCCATTCCCGGGGCCGGTGGCCGCCGCGGTGGCCGCCAGCCCCGCCATCGGGCTGCTCGACAGGAAGGCGCCGGGCTTGCCGGAGACAGCAAGGGCATCGGCCCCGGCCCCGGCCCCAGTGCCCGGGGCCCCAGCCATGCCCGAGTGGTAGAACCCCCGCGTGTTGCGATGCATGCCGGGGCCGCCGGCCGGCGGGGAAGCCATGTCCAGCGTGGCCGGCGGGGAGGAGGGCCGCGAGTGCTTTGACGAGTACTTGTGCCCCCCCTGTCCGGGCTGGGGGAAGCCCTGGTGCGTGTTGAAGCCCTGCCGGAGCTGGGCCGACATCTTGCGGAAGGTGCCGATGAAGAACTTCGACAGCGACTCATTGACCTCCTTCTGGGACACCTGCACCGGGGGAGCCAAGCGCGAGGGGTCCGTGTGCTTGAGCCACATGCGGGCCGCGTCGAGGGCCGCCTCGGACCCGGCCGGGTAGCCGGACAAGGCGGTCAGGGTCCACCGGTGCTGCTTGATTTGGGCGATGGTCAGTCGCTGCAGGGGGTTCTTGGTGAGCATCCCCTGGAGGAGGTCCACCAAATCGGGGTTCAGCCAGTCGGGGTAATGGGGCCTGCGGGGGGGGGGGGGGGGGGGAGTATGGCAGAACGATGGGGTGTGAGTGGCACATCGGCAAGGTGGGCGAACAGTGGCCAGGAGGGGGGCAGGCACACGCACTCGGTCTTCAGGATGACCTGGTAGAGCTCAAACTCGTTCTCCGCCCAGAAGGGCAGCTTCCCGGTGGCGAAGGAGTAGAGCGTTACACCGAGGGCCCAGATGTCAATGGCATGCGAGATGGGTGGCGATTCTATGTACGCGCGTGTGTGTGTGCGTGTGTGTGTGCGTGTGTGTGTGTGTGTGTGGTGGGGAGGGAAACGAGGTCAGCAAAGGGACACGCGAGGGAAAAGAAGCGAGAAAAACCGATGGAGAGAGAGAGAGAGAGAGGGGGGGGGGGGAACACCCCCACAAGACATGGGCGGGTCACGCACTGTTGCCGGAGGCAGGACCGGTGCCGGCGTCCACGGGCGACGGGCCGCCATGGCGCGACTGCCCGCCGCCGGCCGTGCCACCTCCAGACCCGCTCAGATGCAGGGAAATGTTCCGCAGGGCTGAGTCGGTGGCCGAGCGCCCGCGCTGCTGCTGGTACTGCTGCTGGGACACCCGGTCGATGGAGGAGGAGGACCCCCCCCCGGGACCGGAGTCGCTGGTGGACCGCTCGGACATCGCCCCCGCCGGCCAGGGGACCAGCCTCGAGGACGACTGCCCGGAGGAGGAAAAGAGCCCCGAGAGACGCCGCTGACTGCTGCCGACCGGGTGCTGCGGGACTGGCGTCGCCTGGGCCGAGCCAGGAGCATAATCGGCTCCCATCGAGAGCCCCGGCCCACCGGCCGAGCCACAGGCCGCCGTGGTCGAGGAGGTGGACGACACCGAGACCGAGCGCCGGTGCGCGGCGCCGGGGTCCCCATCGACCGGCCGGAAGGCCGGCGGCATTGGCGACTCCTCCGGCGCCAGGTAGGCAGACGAGGTGGAGCTCGACCGGGATGACCTCAGGGACTGCGACAAGAGCGACACCGAGGAGGCACGCGACGAGTCACTCAGCGGCCCGGTGTTAAAGCGCCCAGTCACGCCGACCGGAGACCCGGGGGCCGTGGACGCCGAGGACGTCGGGCCCGGCGTACCGGGCCCGGCCATCGGGCCCGAGACGGCCACCCCCGTGGCAGCACCATTCCCCGGGGCCGGGTCGGCATCAGCCCAGGCGTCGGTCGCCAGACGCAAATTCGTCGGCGACAGCCGGCTGAGGCTGGTGTGCGAGGAGTCAGCCGCCAAGGGCGCCTCAAAGAAGGAGTCCATGGTCGACGTCAGGCAAATGTCCTGGTCGGGACTGGCCGTGTCGTCGGCATGGGCAGGGGCCGTTGTCGGGGCCACCACCGACGATGATGCCACCCCGGGCGGCACCGGCGGCCGCTCGGCCGCCGAGGGGAGGATGGTCACACGCGGGCCGGTCGGCAGGTCCGGCGCCGCGTCCACCGACTCGGTCGACGAGGAGGCAGTGCTGCGAGTGCGCTGGTGTGCCAGAGAGGAGCCGCTGGCGGCGACCACCGAATCCCGACGGAAGAAGCGCCCTGTTGACTCGACACCCGAGGAAGAGGAGGAGGAAGAGGAGGAGGAAGAGGAGGAGGAGGAGGAGGAGGAGGAGGAGGAGGAGGCCACGGAAGCGGTGGCACTGCCATACCCAAAGCGGTCGCCGGACCCGCCGGCCGGGCCGGCATCCGCCCTGTCCTGATGGTCATGATGGTGACCATAGTGATGGTGAGGATGGTGATGGTGGTGGTGATGGTGGTGGACATGGTGCTGGGGGGGTTGCTCCTCGTCCTCGGCATCCTCGCCGGTCGGCGCCTGTCCCGGCACCCGGCCGTCCGTGTCTTCCAGCGGCTCGAGATGGTCGTGGAGCTGATGGTGGAAGTGCATGTGATGCATATGGTGCAGATCATCCAGCGGAGCCCCGCCATCCTCATCGTCATCATTATCGTCATCCTCGTCCAGCATGTCGCACAGGTACTCCCCGCCACCGCGGGCCATGGCAGAGGCCGAGCCCCCGCCGCCGGTGGACTCATCCTCCGAGTCCAGGCATAGGGTCCGCAGCAGCTGCGTCACATCGTCATCATCCACGGCGCAGAGCTCCGGCGCGAAGAAGGCCGGCGTGCCGGCCGTCTTGGCCAGGGCCACCTCCTCCGATTCCTCGGACACATGGCTGGCCGTCCCGCCCCCGGTCAGGGGAGAGAGCCCGCCATCTGAGGCGCCGCTTTGCGTCCGCCGGCGGAAGCGCCGCCACAGGCGTGATGGGGCCCGGTGCTTGCTCGGGTTGACGACCTCGGGCTTCAGGTACGACACGCCGAAGTCCGAGATCTTCACATGCGAGCGGGTACTGTCGAGGAGCAGATTGGCCGGCTTGATGTCGCGGTGGACAATCCCCTGGTAGTGGACTGGGCGCGGGTGCAGAGCAAGGGCGACGAAAAGGCCGACAGAAGGGGGCACATGGAGTCGGGGTCAGGACAGGGGGCGGGGGGGGGGGGGGGGCGCGGCAGAGGGCAAGCCTGGAGGATGGGAAGCCTGACGCACGGAATTCCAAGCCGAGGAGAATTTCACGGAAATAGTGCCGCACACGATCCTCGCACATGATCGGCCCATCGACGCTCGGGTCTTGGTAGGGGATGGCTCCGCCCTCCATGTATTCGAGGACTGGGGGGGGGTGTCAGAGGGCGATCGTCATTCACATAGGGGGGGGGGGGATCCCCCGCTGGGGGGGGAGGAAAGGAAAGAGCAGGAGGGAAAGGGGCGAGAAGAAACAGAACAAATAGCAGCAGCAGCAGCAGCAGCAACAGCAGCAGGGTCGCGTACCCATGAAAATCTTGTTGCTCGACGGGTCGTCGATGACCTCGATCAGGCGCACCACATGCGGGTGGTTAACCTTCCGAAGGATGGCAATCTCACGGAGGGCGCGCGTGTGGGGATCATCGCCGGCCCGATTGCGCAGGCCGCCCCAGGACCGGCTGGACCGGGGGACCTTGTCGACGATCTTCATGGCATACACATTGGACGTGCGGGTGCAAATGCACCGGTACACCTTGCCATGGGCTCCGACGCCCACGACCCCGCCCAGGTGGTAGCCATTGATCATGCGCCGGCCGTCGGGGGCCTTGTCCACTTCGAGCGAGCGCGTTTCCCGGGTCGGCAGCGGAGGTGCAGGGCCCTGGCCGGGCACCGACCCAGACACCGGCCCGGCCCCCGGGAAGGGCATGGCCGGCGAGGGGGCCGGCGAGGGGTGCGGCGAGAGCAGCGGCGAGTGCGATGCCGATGCCTGGGCCCCGGCGTGATATGAATGCAGGTAGAGCCCGGCCCCGGGGCTCATGCTCTCCGGGTGCACATGGTACGAGTACTGATACGGGTGGTGATGCGGGTGATGATACGGGTGATGGGGGGAGGCGTGGGGGGTGTCGGGGCCCTGCTGGCCGCCGGCCACCGGGGGCGCGTCATCCAACCGCGAGGACACATACAGCGGCGGGGACATGTCCAACACCGGCAGCGAGGGGGAGGACAGGGAGGTCGGCGACGGGCCGACCACCCCGTGCCCGGCCCCGCGCGAGGGGCTCTGCCCATAGGCCGTCATGGATGAAGTGCGCCCGAGGCGGATGAAGCGCCGGGCCCCGGAAGAAGACCCAGACCCGGACCCGGGGGTGCCGGCCCCGGCCCCGGTGCCGATGGCGGTCGCGGTGGCCGCCAAAGGCACCGGCATGCTGGCCGGCGGGTAGACCACCGCAAAGTGCCCCGGCGGCAGGGAAGCCAACGTGTGAAGGGAAGTGGTGGAGGAGGAGTGCGATGTGTGAAGGGAGCCCCCGGCCCCGGGGCCGAAGGCCACCGACTGCGAGGAGTAGGTTCGCCCGCGAAGCAGCGGCGCCGGGCCCGACGGGCTGACCAATGGCGGCCCCTCGGCGCCGGAGGACGATTGGGGCACACTGCCGGGCCAGGCCCCGGCGTCGCCACCGGCCGGAGACATGCCCAGCCCGGGGGAGGTGGCCCCGGTGATCGGGCAATTGGCCACGGCCGAGCTGAAGCTCAGGCGACTGCCGCGCGGGAGCTGGTGCAGGCCCTCCATGGACCCGGAAACCAGGGCCCCACCGCCACCGGGGAGGGGAGCCGCCACGCCGGAGGAAGCCGACGACGAGGCCGAGGACGATCCCGACCCGGAAGCCGAAGACAGCGGTGGTGACGCCAGTGCCAGGGAGGACGGCCCGGGGAGGAGTTCCCGATCGCCGCCCCAGGCCCGATTGGCATGGGACCCTGGCTCCAGGCAGGAGGCTGCGCGAATGCGCCCGCCGCCGCCGCCGCCGCCGCCATGTGCCGGCCCCAAGTGCTCGGCAACCGGCCCGACCGGATGCGGCGAGGGGAAGAGCACACGCGTGCCGACTGGCCCGCCGGCGCCGGGGCCCTGCCCGCCGGGACCGGCACCGGCACCGGCACCGGGGGTCGGGTAGTGCAGGAAGGAGGATCCAGTGCAGATGGATGGCAGGGGCGATGCACACTTGAAGGGGGCCACCGGCGAGGCGCAGATGATGGGGGCCGCGGGCCCGGGGACCGGGGTCCCGGGCCCGGACATGGACAGCAGCTGCTCCGTGGACATGGAGGCAGGGTGCATGGCCAGCATCAGGGGATGCCCGCCGGGGGCGAATGGCAGGCCCGGCGGCGGCGGCGAGCCGGGGACCATGACCGGCGGGGGGGTCGGCGAGAAGACCTCCGACGCAAAGGGCAGCTGGTGCGTGGGCGAGGACACCGGCGAGAAGGAAGTGAAGGTCATGCTGCCGTTGCCGGCCATCAGGAACTCGGCTGAGGGGGCGCTCTCGACCATGGACACGCCGGAATCCTGCGAAGGCGACCCGACGATGCAGAGACACTGTGTGGGGTTGTATGTCCGGACATCATTGGGTCGTGGGAGCCGGGGCCGGAGCAGGCAGGAGGGCCGAGGGCAGGCAGGAGGGGACGAGGAGGTGAGCAGGAGGGCATGCTCCACAGCAAGATGTGGCCTCGGAAGGAGAGAGCGAGAGCGAGAGCGAGAGAGAGAGAGAGAGAGAGAGAGCGAGAGAGCGAGAGAGAGCGAAAGAAAGCGAGAGAGCGCGAGAGAGCGAAAGAAAGCGAGAGAGCGCGAGAGAGAGAGAGAGAGAGAGCGAAAGAAAGAGAGAAAGAACGAGAGAAAGAGGCAGGGAGGCGACATACGTGAGGGGCATTGGTGGCCGAGGGGACATCGGGATCGGCGGCCACCGAGGGCGGCGAGCAATCGCACGTGCAGTCGCAGCGCTCGCCATCGAGGCAATCACCGCATGTGAAACCGCAGTCACAGGCGGCGGGCGGCGGGTTGGCGGTGGCCGAAGAAGTGGAGGTCCGGGCCCCGGGCCCGGCGCTGCCGGTGGACGAGGTGGACCCCCGGCCCAGGAGGTCGCCGCTGGCGCTGGGGCTCAGCAGCACGGCCGGGGTGTTGGTGTTGCTGTAGCACACGCAGCTGGCGTGCACGGCCGACGACAGGACCCGGATGCACTGGCACCCGCAGCCGCAGTGGTCCTGGCAGCGCTGGCAGAAGCCGCACCCGACGGCATTCTCGATGTCCGACTCGTCCTCATCCGACACATAGACATCCACCAGGTGGCCGGCCCCCGGCCGCAGCGAGGCCCTCGACGAGGAGAGCGAGCTCCCGGCATCCGGGGACCCGAGACCGCCACGCATGCCCGGGAAGCCGCCCGTCCCCAGGCGCGTCCCCCCGCCGAAGGAGGTGGAGAAGGAGGAGGACAACGAGGAGGAGGAGGTCGACTCGCCGGAGGAAAAGCGCAAGGGGTTGGCGGTGTTGCTCCGCCGGCGCCCATGGTGGTGGCCCAGCAGGGACCCGGTGCTGCCACTGTAGGAGAGGGGCTCTTCGTAGGTGCCGACCGGGGGGCCTGGGGCCGGCGGCTGGTGTGCATGCTGCCCGGGGCCGGGGGGGCGGATGTGCACCGGGGTGGCCAGCCCCACCGACGTGCCGTTGAAGGACCCCTTGCGCGCGAAGGAGCCCGAAGGCCCGGCCAGGGCCGAGGGCGAGCTGCAGGAGGACACCGGCGCCGAGGCGTGGTAAGAGGGCGCGCCGCGGGCGCTGCCGCCATTCAGATCCGGCGATGGCGGGTCCGAAGGGATGGCCCCGGTGGGCGGTGGAGCGCCGGCGCCGGCGCCGGCGCCGGCGCCGGCGCCGGTGCCGGACTGACTGGAGCCAATCGACCGGAAGAGGAAGGACAGGGCGCTGTTGAGGCTGGCACCCGAGGGGGAGGAGGGGGCCGTGGTGCCGGGCGTGGCGCTGGCCGAGGAGGGGCCCCCGGGCCCGGTGTGCCCCAGCTCCGGCACCTCGTCGGTGATGAATTCGTAGTCCCCCGGGTCGCCGGCCTCGCCGGTGCTGCTCCCAGCCGACAGGTCCGGCAGGCAGACAAAGCTGCCGGTGCTGCTGGCCGAGCCCCGGGCCGGGGGGCCGCCACCGCCGGGGCCCAGATCGGGCAGCCCCTCGCCGGGGCCGGCGGCAGCGGCATGTGCCGGCGGCAGCGGCGGCGGCCCGGTTGGCAGGTGGTCGACGACCACCAGCGACGACGAGAGCGCCGGCTGGGGGGGGGCCGCTTTGGCCGAGAGAATCGGGCTGCCGGGGGTCGAGCCGGCCGGGGCATTGCCCGCAGCCGGCGACGATGAGCCCGAGGAGAAGGAAAAGAGCGCCGACAGCCGGCGCATGGTGGAGGCCGGAGCCGGCACGGGGACCGGGGCCGGGCTGGGGACCGGCACGGGGACCGGCGACACCATGACCAGGTCCGACGTGTCGCCGGCCCCCCCGCCGGACATGCTGACATCCGAGAAGGAGGCCGAGGCCGACTGGCTGGAGGGGCTGAAAGCCGACTGGGCCGGGCGCGCGGCCAGGGCCACCGGCGTCAGGGAGGGAGGCCGGGCGCGCGGGGCGGCGCTCGCGGTGCCCGGGTCGGCCGGGACCTCCGAGGCCCCGGCCTCCGAGGCGGCTGGCGCACTGGGCCCCGACAGGGACGACAGCACCGACAACGAGCGCTTGGTGAAGCTGGTGAAGGAGTGCCGCCGGGAGCGCGTCCCCGGGGGCGAGGGGTTTGCAGGGCTGGCACCGCCGGCACCGCCGACCCCGGCGATGGCGGCCACGGCCGGGGGCAGCGATTCGAGCAGCTCATCTCGCGAGGGGGCCCGGGCCCGCTGGTGGAGGCTGCCAGGAAGAAAAAGGGCAAACGAGGTGGGGATGCCAGGGAGGAGGTCAGCGCGGGAGGGCGAGCATGGGGGGGGGGAGGGGGGGGGGAGCGGAAGGAGAGACGGAGGAAGCGCAGTGAGACACCGGGGGGAGGAGAGGGGCGGGGACGGGGGCGGGGCATAGTTACGTGGTAGGATCGCCGGCGGGAGGGGCTCCGCCGCCGGAGGCATCCGGCCCCGGCATGACCAGCGAGAGCGACGACTCCGAAGGGCCGGCGAGGTGGTGCTCATCGGAGCTGCTGTCGTCGCGGTCGGCGCCGGCGGGTCGGAGCTCCGGCGGGCTGTCGCCGGGCGCCTGGGCAGCTGGTGCGGTCATGGCGGGTGGGTGTGGGTGTCTCGGCCCCCGGGGGG